CTCTCTCTCTCTCTCTCTCTCTCTCTCTCTCTCTCTCGTATTTAGTACAGGGTATACAGGGTCTCACTACACAGATTGGACTCATAGTGATCCACCTGTTTTCAGCCTCCCAAGCACTGGGATTACAGGGTGATTGTTTTCTGAGGCAGGATCTTGTTATGCAGTTCAGGATTTGAATATACTATATCATCCAGGCTGGTCTCAAATTCATGACCATCTTCCTGCCTCAGCCTGCTGGGATGACAGGCATGTAATCACCATGCCCAGACAGAAATTTGCATTTACAACAGGCATCTGGGAGTGATCCTGATAGAATAAGTCTTGGAGCCATCCTTGGAGAAATGCTACATTAGGGAGCCTTCAATTTGCAGGTTACTGAGGAGATGCACAAACGGACACAATCTCATATTACAGTGATGTCCAGGGATGGATAATGAAAGAAAAATAAAATTATGCTTTATTATATGTATATAGCATATACGTGTTATGAATATTATATATTTTATATATTTATGTAAAATTCAAGTTCCAGTTTGAAGAGCTGCTAAAAATTCATGTTATTTCCATATTTCTGAGTGGCAGCTCCCTCTAATCAGCCTCCACCTCTTTTCTTCTTTCTCAACTGCCCTCTTCGTGACTGGACTAGGAAGACACCCTCATGTGCAGGTGTGGAGAACTCACAGTACTTCCTTAGAGATATGGAATTCAAAGTAAACTAGGTAGGGTTTTTTTGTTTTTCTTTTTCTTTTCTTTCTTTTTTTTTCTTTTTTTTTTTTTTTTGTATTTTAAGGAAGGATCTACAGTGTGTTCAGGGTCTCACTACTAGATCAGACTCGGAGTGACCCACCTGTTTACAGTCTCCCAAGAGTTGGCTTACAGGTGCACCACCACACCCAGTCTCAATTGCCATCTCAGTGCACCCTGGGGGCGGGGCTGGCATGGCAGGCCTGGGGATCGAACCCCCGGCCGCTGAGCCTGCTTGCAGGTGCTTTAATCCGCTGAACCATTTGGCTGGCTCCAAACTAGGTAGTTTTAAAGCAGGGGAAGGTAAAATCAGTCTTTTTCATGATTATTTTTAAGCAGAGGAACTGGTGTCTTTAAAACTCCTTGTGATTTATTTCTCCTAGGTTTCAGATCATATCATTTAGGTGTAAAGCTAGGATGACTGAAAGAATTATGAGTGGGCTTTCTTTTTCCCCAGGAAAAACATTCTGACATAAAAGTGCTACAGATAAATAATATCCATGTAAATGCCCCTAGCCACAATCTTGTCCTAACCTAAAATATCAGCTATACCTGAGCTCTATTTCCATTCTTGCCCCTAGTGTGTGTTTTCTAGTAACTCAGGGGCTCTTACTGGCACATAAACACTGATGAATCAACTTAAATAGTTAATCTCTCAGGAGATACTAAACTGGATATGAGCTTTTAAGGTAAAAAAAAAATTTTAAATGAAATGAAAGAAAAGAAAAAAGGGGAAATTTACATTCAGTCATGAGGGCTTGGAACTCAGGATGCCCTGAAGTCAGCATTCTACTTACCAGGAGGTTCTCCGGCTTGATGTCGCGGTGGACGATGTTCAGGCTATGCAGGTATTTGATGGCACTGGCCAGGTTGTACAGCATCCCACTGGCATCTCGCTCGGTGTATTTGTTAGTGGAAGTAATGGCATCAAAGAGGTCTCCACCCTGAGAAGAGAACAGCAGGCAGAGCAGCGCATTAACAGATGGGCGGTGGTGCCACCTGCAGAGAGGGCTGATGAGCCACAGAGAAAGTGAGGAATGGACCCGGGCCTCCCTGCCGCTTGCCTCTCAAGGACCAAAGACTCTATGGTGATTTCTCTTTTCATTATGCAAGAATGGCTTTTCCACCAGAGCTCAACAAAGAAGCAGGATGAGGATTCTCTGACAGCAGACACGTGGCCACCTCTGCGCCCCCACCTAGGAGGAATCCATGGAGCTGGGTCCCCAGGGCAGAGACCTGGAGAAGCCTCGTGAAGCGTAGGTCGCCTTCTGGCACGTGCACCCTGCCTCACGCAACTGCCAGCTGAAGTGCCAATCCATGATCCACAACCTCACCCAACGAGAAACAAGGGACGCTAGAAGGGGTATGGTTAGCTTCTGCCTTGTGCAATTATTCACACACACACACACACACACACACACACGCCACACGTGCATACCATCTCTGATACTCTAGATTTAGCTCTCTTGGAGTGGGTGTAGTATTTTCTTTTTCAGTAATATGCTTCTTTCAAGGAAGGAGAAAAAAAAGGGGGCAGAAGCCATCACAGCAAAAATGAGAGGGAAGGGGAGGGAGGATAGAGAAATTTCAAAGCAAGTTTTCTAGGACTATTATTCATCTGCAATTTTGCTTCGCTTATTCCTGGTTAATTATTACTACTTGATGAAACAGCAAATTTGGCCTCCAGTTTGGGTTACATCTATTGGAAACTCAGGGAATTTGTGTGTGATTTGCTAACAATGTTTCCATCATCCTTGCATACAACGCACCAGACAGCCAAACACAGTTCCCAAATATGTTCATCTGTTTCTTAATGTAGGACTGAAATTTCCATCTTAAAATAGCAAAAGCAAAATATAGGCATTGGAGGCTAACAATGTTCAGATCTCACTATCTGGACTGGACCCTCTGTTTTCCTCTGCAATCTCTGGAAACTTCTGTCAATCTGACTTAAACAGTAACAATTCTCAAACTAAGCACATATACTTTTGTTTCCAGACAAAATCTTGATCTCTCAACTCTGTTTCTTTCAAAGGTGAGGCACATTTTCCCATTGTCTCCTATCACTGGAGGAGGCGGGATAGTCACATTGGGACTGAACACAGCCTGTGGGGTGGCACGGTGGGTGAGGCGGCTGCGTATGGGCCCCCGCAAGGACTCAGGATTTGTCCTGCTCATTGAGGCCAGGCATCCTGTCATCTTTTCTTCATCATCTACAAAACAGCCAACAAATCTTACTAGTTCTGTCTTTAAAGCAGTTCTCATCCACCTCCTTCTGGGTTATCACATCTAATTATTCAGAGTTTAGGCCCCTACATGTTGTCGCCGACCGTTGTCCTGTGGCGCTGCCACACATATGCCTTCATTCTGTGCTTCTTTATCTTAAGCTTACTACACAACCACATTTACCTTCTCCTGAGTCAGTATTGCTTTTTTCCCTCCTAAAAAGTCACCACGCCTAAGGAAAGGCTCTCTGTCTTCTGCCCTCAACATTCATATTGATTTGTTCAATTTCACCTGCCCTTTTTTGGGGGGACATGCTAGGGTTTGAATGCAGGGCCTTCACACATCCTTAGCCCTTCATTATATTTTCTTTTGGGACAGGATCTTGCTACATTGTTAAGGGGCCCCAGCTGGATTTGAATTTGTGATCCTCCTGCCTCAGCCTTCTAAGTCGCTGTGATTACAGGCATGCTGCTTCACACCCAGCTGTTCCACCCTTTCCTAAGACACCATCTTTTGTGCTTCAGGTGGTGTTACAAACAGGGCAAATGTCCTTAAGAGCTAGCAAGTTTCTTTTAGAGACAAAGTGCTTTTCTATTGACCACTCCCTGCTCTCCTCACCCCGGAGGAGCTGACAGAATATGCAGATGCTGGTTCCAGGAGGGTCGGGTCCAGTTTCCAGAAAAGGACAGAGTAGAAAAAAGCCTGAGAAATGGCAAACTACCTAAGGAGTTTGTCCAGGGCGTTCTTCTCAAACCCCAAGGGCCAGCAGTGTGTCCAGGACAGTCTGAAGCTGTAGAACAGCAAAGCCTAGATTCTGGGAGTTAGTGATATAGTGGTTATTAAGTGAAATTATTAAGTGGATAAAACAGTGTGGAAACTTTATTATCTATTGTCTTATTGTATTTTCTCTTCTTACTATATAAGGCCTGGCACAACCAAATACAATGATACAGCTATTTGTGGCAGTATGAAACCCTGAGACAAGCTTTAAGAAAAGCCATTTTCTCTTTTCACCGAGCTGCCATTTTGGTGGTGGTGATGGGGCAGCAGAGGAAGCAGACAGACCCAAGGGGCTGGGAACAGTGGAATATTTCTGCCCCCATGTTCAAAACAGACCCTGAGTCTGTCACCCTCAGGGTCCCTTCCTGGAATGCCCCTTTCACTGCTCTGCGGCAGTCTTCTTTGGCTCCTGAGAGCCCTCAGCAGCGCTGCTTCCTCCACTAGGCTACCCTTCCTCTGCACCTGTGAGCGGCTTGCAGGAGCGACACTTGGATGGCCGAGGTCTCAAGACTGATTGCCAATATTTCTACAATTTCACTTAATAACTACTACATCACTAACTCCCAGAATCTAGGCTTTGCTGTTCTACAGCTTCAGACTGTCCTGGACACACTGCTGGCCCTTGGGGTATGAGAAGAAGGCCCTGGACAAACTCCTTAGGGCAACATTCAAGTCGGGGCTGGGGTTGGCCTTCACTTCTCTAGGAGACTTAGTCTCGAGGCAATGCTGAGTTTGACTGAATCCAAAGGTGTTGTTTGGTAGCACAACTGTGGGATCTCGGTGCTGGGCTATAGAGCCCCTGTAACCTTGTTAGTGTGTCCTGGTCGCTGGGGAGGATCACAAAGCTGTTAAGTGCAGCACTAGTGGTACAACCAGTCAGCATGAAGTGCTTATACAAAGGCTGTTAGGCATGATAGAGACCTTACTATGGTTACTTACTAGCGTACTATTGACAATCAGATGGATTTCCCACAAAACATGCCATCGGTACTTGAGCCTCTGCCTCTTTCATCGCTCATCTCCAAACTTAATTTAGCTTCAGGTATTCAAAAACCAACTAACAGCAGTGACCTAATCAACACACACACACACACACACACACACACACACACATACACGCAGAATATATTGGTTTGAAGCCGTTGGTATAAAATTAACATCATGGTAAAAATGTTATCTCTTTGGTGCTAGAGAAAGTACACTTTTCCAATTTGGTAAAAATATAATTTGATAATAAAATACCAACATTCATTTGGATTTATTATTAAATACAAATAAGTACAATTGACCTTTGCTTGTTGGAGTAACAGTTTCACAGTTTTACCACAAAAATGCTGTTACATTTTTGTCATTTTTCAGCCTCAAACATGACAGTTATTTTGTCAGCTTCAAACAAGACCATATGTTTGTGTTACAACTAACAAGCTTTGACTCTTCCAGATGAAACAGGGCATACTTGAAGTAGAAAAAAAGGGCAAATATAATTAAATGAATAACCACTAAGTTATTAAATAAATAACCAGTAAAAAGCTAGCACCTCTAAAGTCAAGCAACCCCTGTAAGGAATTAGCATGTTTCTATATGGGAACAGGTTGAACACGTTCCTATATACACCTATGCTGTAACAAATTGGTGTATTAAATGTCTTCCTTATCTTAAATCTGAAAGAAAAAAAAAATCTTACAGTATCCAGTTACCAGCTAAGCTGTAAGAGTCAAGAGTGACTCCTCGGGGCCAGGGAGATGGCTCAGTGAACTAAGCACTTCCCTGGCAAGCGCAAGGGCCTGAATTCAATCCTCGATTCCGGAAAAAAAAAAAAAGTTACTTCTCATGCTTGGACTCTGGCTGCTTACGAGCAGAATTATTCCACAAGGGAGGGCAAGACACTTACAACACCTTACAATGGAAGTAGAAATTACTCCAGTCTTCACGTAGGTAGAATACCAGAGAAGGCTTTGAGGAAAAAAAAATCATAAAAAAGAAGCATTCTATTTTTTGTAACTTCTAATTACTGATGATTTTAAGTGTATGGAAGTAAGAACATTCAGCCATTACCAACACCTAGCTGACCTGATTTTCTCTATTTTCATAGAATAAACAGGTAATTTTATGTAACATTATAAAATTACAATATACATGGAAAGGAAGTACTCTGTTTACATTATTAGTACAGCTGTTATTTTATTATGCTGGTGATTAAAAATGTAAAGCCTGTTTTGCAAAATTATTGATATCTTTGGATATAGTTCATAGAAAAATTAACAATATTCAATAAAATTATATTGGTATTTAACAATTTATATATTACACAGATGGGTAGAAATGGGGCATAGGGCCATATACCCTGGGTTGAGGAGCTGCATGGGCCAAGGACAGGTCTTATGCCCTTCTAGTACAGTTTTTTCATTACTAATTTTTATTTTCAGCTCTGAGGGTCAACTCCAGGGCCTGGTGCATGCTAGGCAAGTGCTTTGCTGATAGGGACATCTGCAGCCTTTTGTTATAGATTCAGAATCCCTGTGCCAATACACAGATGTGGCAGACTGCCTACTGGTGGAAAGAAAAAAGAGAAAAGCAATATAACCTATGAAGGTGTAATGCCTTATTTTCCCAAATACACACCTTTACTAATTCCATGACAAGATACAGCTCAGTAGGTACATCCATCTCCTCAATCAGAAGAACAATATTGGGGTGCTTCACTCTTCTTAAAATAGACACTTCATTCTGGATCATGTGCTCCTGTTCAAGGGAAAAGTTAACATAATCAATATATACAAAACACATGAGAAGCTGATCCCAAATAATATACCTGTACTGCCTGAGGATCAAGGGAGATGTATTTAGTAAAATACAACAACATTCTGATAGCCTAGAATTGTTAGAGGATATTGAAGGTCAGATGATTAAGTTCAGATGATTTGACAACAAATATAGGTAAAGAAAGTAAGACAAAAATAAGACATCATTCCAACTAACTTTTATTCCAACAGTATTTATAAAGCTACATTCTAACCAGCATGTAGCATCCTATACTACCAAAATGAAACTCCAAAGGTGAGTTTATGTTTATTTGGTTTGATCCTTGTTGCTATCTTCAGAACCCTTTTTTCACAAGAATAAACTGTATACCTACTTTGCCTCGACATTTGCTTTTCTTGATAATTTTCAAAGCATACTCCCTAGCAGTTGACCTGCAAAGAGAAAGTATTTTTTTAATAAAATTTAATTTCAGACAAATTGAATCATTTTGTTAGCAATTAATTTTGTAACATACAGACTTCACAGAGTGGCACGAATATTTGATGAACTATTCCTTTCTTTTTTAAAACAAAGAAATATGCAAATGTTCATGGGTTGGCCAAGGGCAGGGGCAACAAATATGCCCAGATAGACGAATCTTGAGCTGCGCTCCCACTTAAAACAGTGCCGCTGCCACTGCCATGCCTAACTCCTCCCGCTAACTTGCTCCCCTCTTCTTGGGAGTGAGAGAGCAGGGATGCCAGGCAGCTGTGAGTTTCTGCTCTCTTGCCTCAGTCTTTCTTGAGCTTCTCTATCCATGAGGCAGCAGCGGCTATTCTCTGAAAGGTTCCCAGAGTCATGATGAAGACCTCCAAGAAGCACATGCATTCTCTAGATTTCGGTTCAGTGGGAGAGACTGTCTATGAGTTCTTCTGGAGAACGCAGGAATGCTACAGGCATTTTCAAGGTGTGTAGGAAAGAATACCTATTTTAGGAGCTTCTTGGACCCTTTGGGTATTTTACAGCTGGCTCAAAAATGGAGGGTATAATTTAAATCTACTTATTTTCCCACAGCCGTGTTCCAGTGTTAAAACCAGGATTCTTAGTTCCTCTGGTCCACCCTTGCCTCAGCCCTACCCACAGGGACGGGTGTGGGAGGCAGGGCACAGTCACAGGCTCCCAGAGGCACCTTCCTAACACTTCTAAGGTGTAGCAACTCCAGGCTTAAGGAAACGGCTACTGTCAAAGAACACGCTGTTTATGTGGTACTCATAAAAAAAATCACTATGCAGAGTGCACTGCGCTTTTCCCTTCTGCTTTTAAGTCACAAGACTCTAGCTTTTTACTTACAGGTAGAAGTCAGTGATATGGATTCAAATGGATTCCATGAAAATGAGGTTAATTAAGAACCAAATTATGGAATTTAAAAGGGGGGTTGAAAATCTTCAGGATGGTGAACTAAGTGGAATTTCCCAGTTTCATGATTACAACCATAAAGTAATTTCCTTATAGAAAGAATTAAGAGGCCTGGTATTAAAAATGTGTTTCAGGGGTGTTTTATTTATTTATTTATTGCAGTATTGGGGATTGAACTCAGGAGCTGACACTTGTCAGGCCACTGAGCTGTCTCCCAAACGCAGGGTGTTTTAAAAACTAAAAAGGGGGGGAGGAGGAAAAGAAGAATGAAGAAGAGAAAAGAGAATGGAAGGAAAAAAAGTTGAAACAAAATGTTGTAAATAAGGAAGGAAAGAGAGGTTGAAGGGAGAGGAGGGGGATGGGAAAAAAGAAAATAAAACAGTTTAGGTACAAGTACAAATGCCATATGATATCATTATGCATATCTCATGTGTATCCATAAAATTTTTTAAAACAGTGCTACATTAAACTTTATTAATAATGAGAAATAAAAAGCCCCTTAAAAACTGTGAAAAAAAAAGTTCGAGCAGAACAGAGCGCTTCTTCCCAGGAAAAGACTTTCTTGGGGAGAATATGGGGAGTGAGTTCATAGCCCCTCCCTACCCCTGGGCTGGACTTGGCGGAACTTTAAAGTGCAATGTAACGGGTTTCCTTTGAACTCAGCCAGCTGAGTTAATTTCTTTAGCTCCCACATGACAAAGTCTAAAGCCCAGTTGATTATTATAAATCCACAGAACTGCCTGAGATTAGTGATCACTGGATAACTGAACAAATTCCCACTCTCTGGATCTATATAAGGCCAAAGCAAACAAAGCACCCAGAGCCCCACTTTCTGGAACCTCTGCTGGACCCCAACAAGAGCTATTTTTCTTTCCTACATCTCCAATAAACCCCTTTAATCTTTCTGTCCACAATTTCATGTTTGATGATACCTGTTTTGTAAAATTACCGCACTCCCAGGGCCTCTACACATTACAGAAGGCCTTGTAGAAGACAAAGGGTCCCTTCCAGAGGCTTCTTCTTAAAGGCTTCTGGAGTCTTTGAAAGTTTGAAAATTCTTAAGAGGAAAGTAAAAATTTGAAGGATTTCTTGATTTTGCTTTGCATGAATCACTAAAGGATTACAAGAAAGCAATCTGAGACTGGAATCTATGAACAATTTTTCTCTGATTTAACATGTTTCATTTGATGTCAGGAGAATCTAGATTTGAACTGACAGCTTTGATTCCACCAGACATTTCAGGCAGGGCCAGAAGTGGACAGGTGCTTTGTAAGGCCTGACACCCAACGCTGGCTGTTCATTCCCCGCACCACCTCTGCAATGTGGAATGAACTGGTGACAAGAGGGGATTTCCTAGCCCTGTGATTCCTGCATTTTCCATTTGATCCTCATTTCCCTTGTATGAATCATGGCAGAATACTCCAGGCCAAGCACTGGTGTGGGGTCCAGGAAGGCTGCATCCTCCTCTGTTGTTAGACAGACAAAGTATAGAATCCCCAGTAAGTACAGGGGTGGGCTGGTGCCCAAGAGCCTAGGTAGCTGTCCTGTGACCCAAGAGCCAGACTGTGCAGGGTGGGACCACAGCTGGACTAAGATCTCGTGGTTTCCCTTCTTAGAACTTTTAATAATATGATAAATATTCCACTAAATTTACATATTTTATAGCAGAGGATGAGCCTCATGGAGGACCACCAAAGTTCATTCCCTGAGGGTGGATCTATGAAGCTGTATAGTAAAATCCTTAATTATTAGAAACATAGTACATGTTTATAGGAAATTAGCTGGGCTGCAAAATGAGCCTCAAAACAGGTTCCAAGATTTAATGTAAGCCGTAGGAATACAAATGGAAATGCTTGCTCTAACTGAAAACACTTGGCCAGAAATAAACCTTATGGAGTGTCTTTGCTTCCCTCCATTCCCTGATCTTTGAGGATTGCCTTGTCTGAGTAGTTATTCTGCAAGGAGAAAAAAGCATCACTCATTGGTAAATTCAGAGACGAACAAGGCCTGCTTCTTGTCCTCAGGAGTCTATAGTTCGGTTGATGGGAAAGACTTCCAGATACCTGGTCTGTTGGTAAAAACACAGACCATTTGCTCATACATTCCTGAAATGATGTTCTTAACCTTTCATGGAAGCCCTGTATGTCATAACAAAGGCGGCAGCAGCAGAAAACTTCATCTTCCTCCCTATCTCAGGGAAATCAATTTGGAAGGTCACCCTTCTATTAAGTATGACCCAAGGTTCAAACCTGAGCTACAAAAGAGAAATGTCCAAATTTTACAGACTGCAACTAACTCTAAGTTTTATGTGTGTACTCAATACAATTTGGCAAAGACCGTCTTGTTGAATTTCATGATTCTTGATCTGAACCAGACTTCCATCTACTCCTGCCTTACCTAGGGAGTGGAGAGGAATATTTGTCAAATGGGGAGTGGCTACTCTGGACTAAGAGGTTTTCCTCTTTGTAGGTTCTGTTTGGATAGTTAAAAAACATTTCTTTTTACTTAAACATTTTTATTTGAAAGAAAAAGAAACTTAAAAACAAAAACAAAATTCCAAAACAGTATGACAGGAAGGTAACAATAGCTAATACATTGCGTATTTTTATCTTTAAATTAGTTACTCAGAATAAGAGACATCAGCATTGAATTGGCCAAACAATATTAGCATGAACTTACCTTTTCAATGACCTGAGAAAAATTAGGAATTAACTTTGATTTTAACTAAATATTTTGTGTGTGTGTGTGTGTATATATATATATATATATATATATACACACACACACACACACACACACACACATTTTCTATTCTTTTTGATTTTCCCTTCCTTCTTTATTTTCCACTCCCCCAAGCTAGCTTCTCTTTCCTTTTGAAGTTTCTTCCCATTTTACAATATCTGTTGTACATTTTGAATTATATTTATTCTTTCAATTTGATGTGATAGTTTTAAAAATGATTATGTAGTGATGAAAATTCAGCTTTCCAAGCATCGCTCTTCAGAGCAGAGAGAGAGAGAGAGAGAGAGAGAGAGAGAGAGAGAGAGAGA